TCCACTCATCTTAAAGTTGCCAAGGTTGAGAAACACTAGCTTAGCCTGACCAAGAATTCTCATACAAGCAACTAGGAATTTATGGCAGATGACACAGCATTGGCAACATCAGGACCATGGAGAGCTCTTCACAGGAGTTTTCCAAGCTGGGCCAACTTTTGGAAAGAAAACTGTTGTTCCAGCCCATATCAGTGCTCAATAGAGGTCTTAAATAACATGGGAAGGCCATCTCTACACCGCTGCTTGCTTCCCACTTTAGAATAAAAGCCCTATCTGGGAAAGTTCAGAAACCATGAGAAGTCCAGAAAGATGTTTTCTGAATCTGAGTGCCCTTATACCAAAGAGGTTCTTGAGGAGTACCTCTGAATCTAGATATCCTGGGTCTCATGTTACCTCTAAATCTTCTTCAGAATCTTGCTGGGTTCCTTGCAGTTGGCCCTGTAATACCAGGGAAAGGCTGCTTTTGGTCATCCCTTTCCCCCCAAAACCTTGATTGGTCCCCCCCTTGAGAAGAATGAGAAGCATAACATGTTTCTATCTGCCTCTGCCCCACAGATCAAATCTTCTCTTTTCAAGAGTAGTTGTGTAGTCCTGTTATGTATCAGGAATAGCAATGATGCTATCCAGCACAAATGTAAAGAGATGTTGCATCAGTAAAAGCTACCTTTTGACCAAGCAGTTATAAAGTAGTGTTGCTGCTCCACCACCTTTTCTTGCTTTGGCATTAGGGACCTGTCACACAGCATGCTTCCTTCTCCTGAATAGGGATCAGAAAGTTTTGAAAGGCTGCCCAGAAGGACACAGACATGCTGTCACCATTTTTCTGAGATTGATTCCAGACAGTATGGAGAGAAAGCTGAATCTTCCATCCCCAGGACCTCCTCAAGCATGTAACTGTCCTGGGAAGACCTATTAGCACCCTCCATCTCCTCTTAATGTCTGCAGAGTAGAGCAACTTTCCCAACCTGGAAGCTGTTCAGATATGTAGTCTTCAGCTCCAAAGTTCCCCAGCCAACATAACCATTGCTGGGATTTTGGGAATTGAAATCCATAGGGTGCAAAGAATAAACCCTTCCCCCTCTTCTGGCATCTCATCCAATTCTTGATGATTATTCTGGGATGTAGCAAGGGGAAGCATTGGATTCATAAAGTTTCCCTTCCTTTCTCAACTGCTTACTCCCTTCTCCAGTTAATCTGTTCTATGAAGAGACAAAACCTACTATTTTTTTTAAATAAATTTTTTATTTTTTACAACAAACACAAACAAACAATAGCATAAAAAACATAAAAAACCATCTTCCATTTTAAACCGTGTGTCAGCCAGTTACCAATCATTTGTGCCATCCTTGTGTCAGCCAGTTACCAATCATTTGTGCCATCCTTGTGTCAGCCAGTTACCAATCATTTGTGCCATCCTTTCATAGTCTTCACTCATCATTTATACAGAGAGACAAAACCTACTATTAATGGATCAAAATCAATGGCTTGTATGCCTTCAGAAGCTTCCTTCCTTCCTTCCTTCCTTCCTTCCTTCCTTCCTTCCTTCCTTCCTTCCTTC